ACTCCTTCACTTGAGCGTTTCCTTCATGAGTCATTTTAAGAGACTCAAACATATCATGTGCAGTATCTCTATTTATAATCTTTTCATATTCCACTTTAGAGATAGCATTTAGAAAAATATTTTTAGCTCTATGATGATTTTTGAAATCAGCTTTTTGCTGTCTATCCATATTTTTCCTATCAATCATATTTCCTTCTGAGTCAGTAGGATGTTTGTAACCATCCAAGACTATATCCCATAAGTCACTATCATGACCTAGAAAGAAACTTTCTAGTCTATCTTTCCAATAATCAAAATCTTCTCCATCAAAAACAGGAGGTTTGTTGTACCTATTGTTGTTTTGTTCAACAGCCATTATATTTTCTTCTGGATCTTTTCCTGACACGGTTAAGTGTTGAACTCAGAGTCAAGCTATGATACCAATTGAAGGTGGAGAAAACACTTAGAAGGGGGGTTGAATAAGTGACTCTTTTTCTTTTCAAAACAAAGCTCAACAATAAAGGAAAGACAAGGTTATTTTTATCCTGGTTCGTTTGAACTCAAACTACTCCAGTCCACCCGCCAAGGTGATTTCGCCTTTCTCAACAAGGACTTAATCCACTATAATCAACTGATTACAATCACACAACAATTGCTGTGACTAACAATGCACAAGTAATCTTACAAGTGACTAACACCACTAAGACTTAAATCTAGTCCTAGTCTACTTGAGAAATCTGACCAAACTTGGTCTCTCAAGGAACAATTACAAGAGTTTAATCTTTACAGATAGTGAAATAAAGTTTACTTCTAATCAAGCTATATCACAACTGATTTTTCACTAAGAATATTATAGCACAAAGTGTATGAATAATGTTTGCGAGCCTATAATATTTTGTGTTGCTTTTGCTTCTTTTGAGTTATATTCAGAACTTCAGGTGTTCAAACTTTCAGCGTTTCAACAATTGTACATTTGTGCGTTGGAACGGTAGTTAGCTTGTAATAAATTTCCTTTTATATATAGTAAGAACAAAATGATTGTTGCTGCCTTCAAAAAGTGGAGAGCATTAAATGCTTGCGTGTTTCTTTGCACTATTCCATTTTCTAAGAACTAGCGTTGAAACTTGAGTGCATACAACCGTCTTTGCATTAAATGAGCAAACGACACTTGTCAGAATATGTTTCCTGAAGCTTGACAAGACAAGTTGGCTTTTACATTCTTTCAGAACTTGCTTCAATGTCTTGTATTCAGAATGTGCTTGCTTATCTTCTAAACAATGCTTTGCTTGCTAAGAACTTGACCATCGCTTGCTTTCAAATAAACTTCTGAACATCACTTGCTTTCAAGTAATCTTCTGAACAAGGAATCGTGCTAAGTGTTAGAAGATGCACTTAAAAATAATTGTCTTACCAGAGTCAGCAACAGCAGTTGCGCTTAGAGCAAATAGTTCTTTCATCAAAGAACTTCTTCATTAATTTTTAGCTCAACACATCAAAATGCTTCTGTCAGAACATTATCTGAAACATTCAAATACGTTCATCAGAGTATAAATTATATAAAATATAATTTATTGTTATCATCAAAACTCTGAGATAGATCAGAACTAATCTTGTTCTAACAGTTACAACGAGGTTCCTATCTGTGGCCTAGGAAAGGTCCTATGTGATACGAAGCACAATAAAAAAGACAAATGCATCTCATCAGTCCTTTCAATTACAAGCCCACATGAGGAAAACACCAACAACATGCTCAATACATAACATAAATCAATACGCTATTGAGATAAACACTAAGTACAATTGAAGACCTTTACTATGCTATGTCACGAATCACAAAGACCATTGTCAAATAAGTGCAAAGAGAACATCAAACACCCCGTTGCAACGAGGCATCTTTTTCACTCATAAAAGCAAACAAGTAGGATTCCAGAACCCTATCGATCATCAATAAAGCCCGGTCATCCACTGATCAGTGACATTCTGACTATGTTTTTAGTATGTTTTGTGTGTAATTCTTAACAAGTTGATATATGACATTGTGAACTTTTTACACATGTTTTGTGTATTCTTTGCCTTTTGGCAAAAAAGGACCATCCATGATAATGTAAAAGTCAAGAAAGGGAAATTGCGACAAGCCTGCAAAAATTAGGATTTCCTCAATACAAAATCCAGATAGCTATTATGGGTGGTTGTAGCAACTGCTTAAGCTGCATATCTCTATGGGGACATTGTTGCATTCCCTAACACATGTAGGGGAGTAACCCCAATACAATTATTTTGTTGTATGTCTTATTGCTTTGTTTATTATCATTTATTGATTCTCCCTCATGATTGCACATCTTTTGAATTAATGTTGAAATCAACTCTTTATTTGTTTTAGCATGCATAAAATAATGGTTATGTTTTAACTTGATCAAGATTCTTTTAGTCAATGCATGAGTCAGTGGAATAACAACTATTTATATTTTATTCAAATTAGGTGCAAAGAAAAACATCAAAGTACTTCTAGAACTATGAAACTTAAGATTTTGTGTGTTTTATTCGAATCAATCAAATTAAACACATATTCTAATTCAAATCAACAGGGGTAAACCAACGCTTTTAAACAATTTGACTCGAATCAGGTTTTGTACATAATTCGAACCAATCAATTTTCTATTCACCTCTCACTACTACATAAAACACCTCTTATAACAATTGGAAAAGGAATACAACCACATCCTGATGTATAAAGTATTTTTATTTATGGCTGCTCTGAAAATGGACTCCGAACAAATACACCACGCCGACAAAAATGGGCAGCATATTTGATCAGAGCAAGACAACACGTCGACGGAAATGGGTGTTGTCTACCTTTTCCATTTTTCTACAAAACTAGCTTTATTCTCGTAACAAACTGGAGTTTGCAAGAGGTTTAGAGGTATGAATCTGTGTCTTAAACTCTGCTTGTTTTAATTATTTTATTTGCAATCGTAAAAATCATTTATAAATAAACTTTCGACCGTTTTAGCTACACACCAATAAGATAACATTCGTTAGTTGTTCACTTGGTCTATGTGGTTTGATATTTTTTTTATATATTACTTCATCATTACCGTGCAGTTGTGACGTGTCATGCATAATTCATTGCAGGGATACCAAGAGAACCTTTGTGTTACAACAACTTACTAACAACTAAAATTGCAAAGTTACAACAATAAAATGAAAACAAGTATAAAACTCATAGTTAAATGATGCATACATCATTAAGGTGAAAATACTTGTATAAGTATTAATTGTTATATTCGAGGCACAATAGCCTGGAAATGTTACAAAGACACAGATAATACAAAATAAAAAAAAGAAAAGTAAGAAGAAGTGAACAAGCCAAATCCCCCAACGTCGATGTACCATAGCCACCATCTTAAACACCCTCAGAGGAAGTTGGGAATGGATTTAACTTTTCAATAGGAACACCGACAACGGGGAAAAACCTCTAGGCTCGTTCCATAACTTGGTCGCATACCCTAAACATGGCTTGCATAGTTCGTTAGATGGAATCAATAAACGTTGCCTTCAAACTGACAACCTCGTCTTCAAGAGTTTTCAAGGCCTTGACATGAGTCCCATTCTCTTGATGAAGAGTCTTCTGATCCTCCTCTGCACGGTGTGTCATCTCAACAACAGACTTAAAGGCCTCATAACATTACTTTTCCTCTACCTTAAGAGCAACCTCTAGCTTGGCTATCCGGGCTGCCAAAGTAGCAGAGGAGTCGTGGATCTTCACCTCATATTGCATATATTTAATAAGATCGACCTCCTTATATAGCTCAACCAAATCCTTCTGAAGAGCATAACACTTCTGCTCCATAAGTTTGAATTTCCCCTTCCAAGTGTCACTTTTCTTATTAGGGTTGTCAGGAGCCATAACATCTCATCGGCCAGCAACGGCGAGGGTGAACACAAATGCATCCCAATATATGATGTGAGTGACCTCATAAACAAGCTTCACCCCCTCTCCCCTTAAAGAGGTTCTGAATGGAGGATAAGTTTGACGTCGACATGGTAACAACATCCTCCTCAGAAGTGCGAGCAAGCCGAGAAGAGAAATTTTACACTGGCTGATCTCATAAGCGAACAAAACTTTTATACTATACTGAGATATGATCTAAACATATTTATTGACGACTAAATTCAATAATCCAATGGGAGCTTTTATCATACAATCAAATAGAAATTTAACTTGACTAATCTCAATAATTAAACAAATCTTTTATCTGGATTAGCTCAAGAAACAAACAATGACTCATTCCAAAGATGTTACATAAAAGATGAACCCTTTTGGATAATTTATAATGTTCTTACAACACCATAACAACAAAAGCCTCACATGTATTTTTCACTCTCAAAATACTAAAATTTTATATTTATGATAAAGATTAATTGCTATGCATTGTCATTATAAAGTCAATGTACAACATTCATTCAAAAATATTACTTTATAAATTATTAGAATAAAAGTCAAATATTAATAAAAATTTAATAGTTACAATTATTTTAAAAATATAAATTTTCTTATTTCGTGCACATTCCAATTAAAATTCATTATTTCATTATGATAAGATAATAAAATAATAAAATGGTAAAGAGATAGTATTAATAAAAATATTATTTTTATATAACTTTTTAACATATGTAAAATGATCTAAATTACATATTTGTTCGAGAAGGCCTACTTTGTTTTATTTATTTATTTTATTTTATTTAGAATGAATAGTTAAGTAATCAATGTAGATTAGTCAACAAAAAAAAGTAATCAATGAGGAGCCGTAAAAAAAAGTAGTAAATGTGGAATTATTTTCACGAATTACTACGTCATTAACTTCGTGTAATAATTTGTAGAGAAGTCAAGACCGAACAGAAGCAAGCAATTTGAAAACGCAGTATTGCGAATTATTAATAAGCTGATAAAGTAGCTATGCGCGCGACTCATAGATGATAGGATAGAATATATAGAAAGTAACTGCCTCAAACCCAACCCTATGGATTCTGCGGTCTCCGTCACCGCGACGGCGCAGATGGTACTTTTCAGAGCACTCCACCGTCATCTACCCGGAGCACCTAATCGCTCGCTCCTCCGCCGAAAACTTAAATTCGCTGTTACTTCCTACAACAATCGCTTCCGCATTCCGTGTTCCTTCACTTCTGTGCCGTTCCACGCGCCGCTCTCACGAACGCCTTGCCGTACGCGCTGCCTTTCGAGCTCAGCTGCTTCTTTTGCCTCTTCCGGTGGCAGTGGAAATGGAGGCGCTGGAGCCGGAAATGGAGGAGGAGGTGACGGTTCCGGAGGCGAGTTTGGAGATGCTAGCATCAAATTGATTGGAGATACGGCTCAAGAGCTTTCAACTCTTTCACCCGATGCTATTATTCTTGATGTTTCGGTTTGAATTCTGCACTGAGTTTTTCCCCCTCTTTTTGTTATTATTATTTTTCTTAAAAAGTTTTTCTTAATTATTCAGTTTGTTTGAGTGCTTGATAGGGAATGGTATGCGGAGGATGTGCAGCGTCTGTGAAAAGGATTCTGGAAAGTCAAGTGAGTTTTTGATATTTGCACTCTATTTTCACCTTTTCTGTAATCTAAATCCTGATTGTTTTACTTTTTTATGTTAACCGGCAGCCACAAGTCTCATCTGTTAGTGTAAATTTAACAACAGAAACAGCAATAGTCTGGCCTGTATCTGAAGCAAAATCTGCACCAAATTGGCAAAAGCAATTAGGGAAGACACTTGCAGAACATTTAACTAGCAGTGGTTTTAATTCTTGCCTTCGAGGTATCTTTTTTAGATAATCCATGTAGTGTATTTTTACTTTCGTGTTTCGGTGTTTGTTGTTTGAGAAAAGGATTTGCCTTGCTACTTATTGATGTTCTAGTTCCTTGCTATATGCATAGTCATTGTGTAAATTGCATGCTTGGTTGCTTATTCGTCTTTTCCATCCTTTAACTACTACAAATTACACACATATGCACCTCATTCTTGTCGATTTCTAGATTCTCATCATCTCCGTAGTTTATTATTTGAATATAAGTTCATACTAATTGAAGTTTACTTTGAGGACTGAAGTTGAAGCTAGGGTTTTGGTTAGGAATTCTTTAAGCCTGTCACATATGTGCCTATTTTACAAAAGTGCACTCTCGAAGAAGAGTTTGACCCATATGAGCTCCTGAATAGTAAGTGACTTAGTTCGATATTCAACTTTAACATTAGATCTGGCAACAACATTCTGCTCATACTTTTCTATGAAGTTAGATTTCCATCAATAAGAATACAATACCCCGGTGTGAACAACCTATCAAAGGGATATCCATTTCAATTATAGCATCTTTGTAAGCGATATCAAAATTAGTGAGCTTGAGAATTGGAAATGTGAAAGTTCCGCAACTTCATTGAAGGCATTGGAACTCTGACAATTCTAAATCATTTAATTTTACCATAAATCAATTCCTTCCCTTTATCTATCTTTTTTATAATTTCAGATCAAATTCTTCGATTCTTCTCATCTTTTCTATCCTTGCACTACAATACCTCGTTCTTCCTCACAAAACATAACTTTTCAATTTTCTTCACAATGTCTTCATCAATCCCTATTTTTGAGGCCTCCTCATGTGCTGTGCACCCCAGAGTTCAAACAAATTTAACTTACATAAGTGATGTAGCATGGAAGCATGTAGTTTTCGTTGACGGAGGAACAAGAAAATAAAGTGCAATTTCTATGTAAAAGTAGTTATTTAAGGAGTTTTCAACCATTTGGCTCGTACATAGGTAAATATTGGTGTTGGTGGACGTTAGTCTATATCAGATGAAGTGAAGGTACAAATGTGAGATATTGTATTATTACAAGTCAATCACCTTATAAAACCTGAAGAAGAAGATACATATAGTGAATATGTAAGAGAAAAAAAAGGGTGTTAGAGGATGATGCAAATGCTATGCAAGTGAGCACTCAAGCCACAATTAGCAACATCAAAAAAATTTTTTGAGAGAAGAAGCGTGTCTAGAAGTTGTTTCCTTCTTATACAACAATGCCATTGCTTTTTTTAATGTGGCAAAATGGACTAATTTCAGAGAATGTTGAAGATGATTTTTAGATATGGCCTAGGATTTAAACCACCTTCCTAAAATAAAATCAGATGCAATTACTTACTCATTTATAAATAAACAAAAACACAAAAAATGGAGGAGAGAACAAAGACCATTGAAGAACACAAACTCATTTAGAAAAAAACATGATGCACAATTATGAGTGATAGATGGACTGATAAAAGAAGGAGAACAAACTTAAACTTTTTAGTTATCAAAAGTAAATGTTTTATTCTTTTAGAGTCAGTCGATGCCTCTCACATATAAAAAATGGCCGATAAAGTATTTGAGAATTTTGTAGAGTAGCGAAAAAAAATATGGTTCAGACCGTGGCTGGCAACGCTAGAAATTACAAAGCTACTGAAGCGGTGTTAATCGATAAAAGAAAGAAGCTATACATTGTATTTACTTCATTTTAGAAGATTTTGAAAAAAAGACTACCGTTCCCATTGAAACAATTTCAAATGGTAAGATTTTTTTCAAAGTATTCTAAAATGAGGTCAATACAATGTGCTGTACACGATGACCAATATAACTAACTTATTTCTTTTATGCATTAACATCACTCCAACATCGTTGGTCACAATCTGAACCACGTTTTGTACCCCGACTTCTTATACAATCATCTCAAATATTTTATCGGTTGTTTTTGATATGTGAGAGGCATTGATCAGCTTAAAAAAACCGTACCTTTAATTTTGTTTACTAAAAAGGTCAAGATTGTACTCCTTTTATGGGTCCATCCATCACTCATAATTGTGCATTGTGTTTTTATTTTTCAATGAGTTTTATTCTTCAATTATTTATTTTAAGTAGTGGTTTTGATTTTATTATAGAAGGTGACTTAAATCCAAGACCATGTCTAGAAACCATCTCCAGCATTCTCTGGAGTTCATCACTTTTGCCACATTAAAAGCAATGACATTGTTGTAGAAGAAGGAAGCAACTTCTAGACATGTTTCTCTATCGGTCTTTTTCCTCTTACAGATTCATCGTCTTACGTAATTTTTTAGGTTATTGACTTGTTATTATTTTACAAATGGTGTTTCAGCCTGTAAACTCTTACAATAACTACTTTTGCACAATAATTTTACTTTATTTTTTTTGTTCCTCTATCAACGAAAATTCCATTCTTCCCAAGTTCTGCCAGTTAAATTTGTTTGAACTCAAGGGGTGCAGTGCAGAAGAGGATGCCCCAACAACAAGAATTGATGAAGACGACATGAAAAAAATTGAAAAGTTCAATTTTGTGAGGAAGAAAAAGGTGTTGTAGTGCAGGGATATAAAAGATAGATGAAAGGAAGGATTGATTCTTGGTCAAGATTAAATGATTCGGAATTCTCAAAGTCCCAATGCAGCTGCACAACTTTCACATTTCCAATTCTCAAAAACTCATTTAAAATGCAGCACACTTAACATGACTGAGAGCACGAACTAACCGATCAAAGAGTCTTCCTTCTGCGCTTGGTCGGGCGAGCAACACTATGAAGAGAAGCGCAGCCACACACACATCTTTTAAGCCGATTAAAGTCGGTTCCACTACATGGAAGTCAAAGGTGTCAAAATTACTTGTGAAAGCCCACTATCTTGTTCTTATTAACCCACAAGTCCTGAAGCCCTAACTGCTACATGCACAACTTTCAGCTTTCAAGGAAATTATGTCAAATCATGAAAGGTTGGGCCTAAGCCGGGTGTTTAATGGACGAGTCTAAAACGGGTCCAAAGGGGATCAATGAAAGAAAACAGATCTTGGAGATCTCATGATCCTATGATTCACCGCTCTTCCTCTGCTTGTCAATCATGCCAACTTCTTCATGATCTTTGCACTACCTAATTAGGTGGCTGGTTGCAGACGTGCGAGATTGTACGATCTCGAGAGGTAGAGTGCGATCCTTACTACCATGGTTGCAACATCAATAAGTTTGTTACTTGAACATATCTAAACAAAGTGCATGAGCATTCTCTAGATTTACATGGATTTATGAATTCAAATTTAATTCTGATGCCAATATTGTTTTCAAACAGTTCATGGTCATGGCTGAACTATAGTTTGGTCACTTTTTAAAAGCCATTCTAACTGACTCGGGTGGTAAATTTTACCCTTTCACTGAGTTCTTGGTTCAATTAAGGGTCACAAGCTAATTTGTCCTCTCATACACGTCATCAAAATAGGGCTGTGAAACGAAAAACATAGGCACATCGTTGAGTTGGTTTAACCCTTCTTAGTCAAGCCTCTTTACCCTTATTCTATTGGGACTATGCTTTCTTGAGTGTTGTCTACCTCATTAACAAACTTCCTAATGCTCCTTTGGACTTCAAAGTTCCTTACACTATCTTGTTCACCCAATCTCCTGACTACCAATTCCTAAAAGTTCTTGGATGTGTCTGTCTTCCTTTATTAAGACCCTACATTGCTCACAAGTTAGATTTTAGGTATGTCTTTTTTTTGGGACGTTCTCCCTCTCTTAAAGATTATAAGTGTTTGTCTCTTAATGGTTGAATGTACATCTTTAAAGATGTATTAGGTTAGTGCTAAAGAGTTCCATCTGATGCAAGATTTTGATTTCACTGGGACTTTCTCTCCCGTGGTTGACCAGTTACAATTGGACTAATACTCACCGTTGTTATTACTGGTCATTGGCTATTCAACAACTAGATGTTAACAATGTTTTCGTTAATTGGTTGCTTGATGAAGAGGTCTATAAGCAACAACCTCAGGGTTTTGACAATGGTAATCCCTCAATAGTTTGCAAGCTAAGCAAGGCTCTCTATGGCTTATAACTGGCACCTAGAGAATGGTTTGAAAGCCTGCAATCCACCCTTATTAAACTAGGCTTCAAGGTCAGCAAGTATGATCCCCTCCTTGTTTATTTTTTACTTGCACAAGAAGATTGTCTATCTTTTGGTCTATGTTAATGACATAACCATCACTAAGCTCAACAAAGCCTTCTCTCTCAACAATTTGGATGACTTGGTCTACTTCCTAGGCATTGAAGTCAAACACGCTCCAAATGGTTCCTATTGCTCACTCAATCCAAATACATCAGGGACTTACTCACTAGGACTAACATGCTTGAGTCAAGTTCTATGTCCACTCCTATGTAGTTCACTTGCAAACTTAGTAAGCTTGTGCTGGGATACTTGGTGTGGGCCTTAGTCCAATAATATAGCCCAATAATAGTAAAATGGTTAATTGGTTAATCTTGCTCATGGACCAATCTATTAGAGGGGAAAGATAGTTAGTTAGTTATATAAGGACATGGTTAGTTAGCGAGAAGACATTCAATATGATTTATGTTAGAACCTTTTGGGTGGGGCAGAGAGAGAATCATCTCTTCTATGAGGAGCACTTTCTCTGGTTTTATTTCTGTTTTCATTATGCCATTAATACGATAAATCTCTTCCATCAAATATATCTCTTATACCAATTATCTCTGCTCTATCAATTGGTCCTACTCGCCGGATTGCCGAGGAGGTGCCAACGTTTGTGTCATTCAAGATGATTGCCAAATAAGTGTTAGAAGAAGGAATGGTCGAGAGAATTGACGCAATTGAAGTGAGAATGAGAAGATTGGAAGAATCTGTGAAATCCTTTAAGTTGGAGTTTTGTCAATTGCTGAGGACAGAGATGTCAAAGCATTTGAGTCACATTCCCCTAGAGAATCTTAGCTCTGATTGGCGTGTGTTTCCGATAACAAATGCTATGAAAGAGCACCGTGGAACGGAGTTCCAATAAGACGTGAAGCTGGAAAAGATAGAAGCACAGTTTTCTTGATGACCCCTTCATGTATCGTTGAGTGGTTGGAGCTCTCCAGTATGTTTAGGCCTGAAATCTCTTTTTGTTCATAAAGTGTGCCCGTTTATGTCCTGTCCCTTGGAATCCCAATGGGTTGCTGTCAAAAGGCTGAAAGTAACTAACTCAGAAAGTTAGTTATAACAGCTGTACATGTGACTGACACATGTCTGACACATGTCAGCTTGTCATAGGATAACCATCAATTGAAGGTGATCACTTAGCTTCTATAAAAGCAAGTGTTCTAACAAATTTGTAACTAAATTCAATCAATGAAAAAATGATTCTGAGATTCAATTAGTTTAGTTTCTAATAGTCTGAATATAGTTTAAAGGATTAAGGTCGAATACTCGGTTTTTCGTTCTGGTGCCTTTAGAATAATTGTTATTAAATGGGGCAGGTAAAATATTATATGTTTGAACATCAACCAAATACTACACTGACCAAAACAATAGAAAAATATTACACAGACAAAAACAAAATAACGATGACCAAATTGAAAAATAGTATTATTGGGACCGCAAAACAAAAAACATTACAGGAACCAAAAACATATTTACACCTAGTTTAAATTATACTAGCTTTCTCTAATGATATGTTTGTTTGCATGACTTTTCTGCTGTTTCTGAAAGTGCAGATTCAACAAGAGAAAATTTCCTACAAATTTTTGAAAGAAAGATGGAAGAAAGAAATAAAAAATTAAAAGAAAGTGGTAAGCATCTTTTAAATGCATTAAATGTAGCAACAAGATCTTCCTTAAAATACTTCTGAGTGGTTGTTTGTGATGATTCATCGGCTGTGACTTCTGAGGCTAACTGATGTGTTTCTTTTCTTTTTGATGTGCTGTATTAAGGTCGTGAGTTAGCTGTTTCTTGGGCTCTTTGTGCTGCCTGTCTTGTTGGCCATCTATCCCATCTCTTTGCAGCAAAGGCACCTTGGGTCCATGTATTTCATTCCATCGGGTTTCATGTATCCTTGTGTTTGCTTACGTTACTTGGTCCTGGCCGCCAACTTATCCTTGATGGCTTAAAAAGCCTTTTTAAAAGGGCGCCAAACATGAACAGCTTAGTTGGTCTTGGGGCTTTGTCATCATTCACAGTCAGTTCATTTGCTGTTTTGCTGCCGAAATTGGTAAAATGTATTTTTGAAATCTGTTATCTCCAACTTGTAATTTTAATTTTATTTAGTTGCTGGCTATATTTTATATCTCAGTAAACTTCAAAAGACTAAAGAAAATAGAAAATTTGAATTTCTTATATTGATGAGAGTGTTAGGAATGAAAGCATTCAAGATGTGTAACACGATCTCACAATTTTGGTTGGGCCTAATTCATTCCCACAAAACCGACTTTTAGAGTGAGGATTGTCCCAATTTATAAACGCAACACACACCATATCTCTAAGCAATGTGAGACTAAATCCACCCCTTCAAACCCAACACAATGAAGGTGTTGGGGACTGCAATTAAAGCGACTAGGGGAAATTAAGACAAAAATTCCAACACACCCCTCACGCTTGGGCTTCAATGAGCCCGAAGCGTGGACGACTCTGGAAGCCCAACAATGGAATCTAGGATAGGCTCTGTTACCATCTTAGAATTTGGGTTGGGTCCAACTCATTCCTACAAAACCGGCTTGTAAGGTGAGGATTACTCCCACTTATAAACACAATACATGCCATATCTCTAAGCATTGTGGAACTAATTCTACCCCTTCAAATCCAACACAATGAAGGTGTTGGGGCTGCAACTAAGGCAAGCCAAATGTCGCAATCAAGGCGACTAGGGGCAGACCGCAATTAAGGCGGAAATTCCAACACACAATATTTGGGTTAGTTAGGTTTTTAACTTCCCAACTTAGCGCGAATGTTGGTTATAGTCCTTAAACTTTAAAAGTAGTTTTTTTGCCCACATCAATGCTGAGCCATTTATGGACATCACATGGATAGTTGTTTTCTATTTACAATCCTTTCTTGCAAATAAGGAGTTAATTAGTTTTCTTATTTGGATGCTTTCCCCCAGGTTATATATACCTCATGTATTTTGTATTATCTATGAGAATTACAAAGAAATTCACTGGTTACACGTTTCAGCTCCCATGCTTGCATGAGTGAACATCCAAAAGTATACTGGTGGGATCAATCAATTTGATCTAATTCAGTATATTGTTACTAGCTTATAATTTAAGAAACAATAACTGACTTGTTCCTGGATTGTCCATGTTCATGGTCATACTCTAGTTTGATTCAATTTAGCCTGCCATTTTAGAATTTGAGCTAGGTCTAACTCAACCCCAAAGATAGATCAAGTGGTCAAGATTTCGCAAGCCTTAAAAGAACTACTTTGGTCATATTTCTAGTCGATGGAGATCGTAACACACTCTTCCACATCCAAGACTAGATATTTGGAGTGTGTACATATATTGGTGGCCCAATTACAACACCTCTCACGCCTAGGACTTGACATCTAGAGCATGGACAAGTACGAGGCCCTGTAACAAATCTAGGATAATACCCTTATATAGAGTTTGGGCTAGGCCCAAATCAACTCCATAAGATAGCTCAAGAGGTGAGGATTTCCCAAGCCCCATAAGGATTACTTAGGTCATATCTATAGTTATCTATAGTCAATGTGGGATCTCAACAAACCTATTTGTCTCATTTCTTCATTAAAATGTTAGATGCATGTGTTTTTATTTTCTTTTCTTTTTTAGTAATACTTACAGACTAATTCCTGGTGGTTTTGGCTTATGGTTACCCATCTACTTTAGATAAATAGTGTTGTATTCATCTTATTCTCATATACGAAAAATAGAACTTTCAAAGCAAATCTTAATAATTTATATTACATCAAGCCCTCTCTCATTTTACTTTGAGAATGGAAATCAATTCTTTGTTATACTTGGATGCTCACTATGTATCTTAGAATTTGGCTCTGAGTGTAACTCAACCTCACAAAATCAACTTTTAAGTTTAGGACTGTCCAAGTTTTATAAGCACTATTTGAGTCATATTTGTGATCGGTGTGAGACTCACTCTCAATACAACCCCGCGCTTGGGGCTGAACATCGGAAATGTAAACCAATTTGGGTGAAATGACCAAGATCTGAATACTCTTCAATACTGCATCACTCCCAAGGCGGAACATCTGCAGCATTGACAAACGGTTGGAATAACTAAGTTCTTTGCCCAATAACAAATTTAGGATAGACTCTGATGCCATCATAGAATTTACGCTTTAGGCCCTACTCTATGCCACAAAACTTATTTGAAAGGGTAAGACTTCTCAAGTCTTATTAGCATTGCCTAGGCCATATATCTAGTCGATAGGGGACTTTCAACAGTAACATTGCCTGTATACATGTTAAGCCGAAACTAGAAAGTATATCTTTTTTGTTGAATTATGAAGCCGGACATGCAATAGATATCAATGTAAGCTTAATTGTGTAAAATGGAATTTTTAATGCAGGGTTGGAAGGCGTTTTTTGAGGAACCTATCATGCTGATTGCATTTGTCTTGCTGGGAAGGAATCTTGAACAGAGAGCTAAAATTAAAGCAACCAGTGATATGACAGGACTTCTTAGCATATTGCCATCTAAAGCTCGCCTTCTAGTTAATGGGGAAACAGAGGTTGCCTCAGTTGTTGAAGTTCCTTCTGACAGTCTTTCTGTTGAAGACCAAATTATCATATTACCCGGAGTAAGTAGTGTCAAAACATACATATTATCAGATACAACCCTGTAACTGCTTCACCCCTTTTTGGCGTCTAAAGAAGCTTCGATTGATTCTTTTAGAAAGGCCAACTTTTATTAGCTTATCTTCGGATGATTAAACTTCCCAGTGGGGCATTAAAGAGAATGAACAAAATATAATATCAATATGCTTTATGTCCACTACTGGGGTAAGAGGTGAAGGAGGGATTGCCGATCTAACCACTTTGATTCCAATTTCCTAAAGTATGATGGTGTTGTGCTGCTGAACTGTTGATAATTGTGATTTGAGGTTTAAACATATTATGCTTAGATTTTGAGGGGTGATGTGCATAAAATATTTATCATAGCTACTTTGCTATTTTTCTAGGATCGTATTCCAGCTGATGGAATTGTGAGGGCTGGTAGAAGTACTGTAGACGAGTCAAGTTTCACTGGGGAGCCGCTGCCAGTAACAAAAGAACTTGGGGTAAATGTTATCTCGACACGTTATAATCTGGGATTTATTTGACTGTTAATGTGACTTATAGATATTGTTGGTTCTTTTTATTGATGGTGGATGCTGTGATTATTGATTCTAAATTTGTTAGGACATTGTGTGCCCTATTTCAATTAAACATGAATGCCATTATGTTTTAATGCTAACGTTGTATGGGTGCAATTTAAATAATGATTAGCACACTCCATATTGACCGGCCCTTTAACATTTTTGTACATGTGGCAGTACTAGCAGTAGAATTAAGTAACTGATTAATGGGTTTTAACTGATTGATGGGTTTTGTCTTCAGAGCGAGGTTGCAGCTGGAAGTATAAATCTAAATGGAACTCTTACAATAGAGGTGCGGAGACCAGGTGGTGAGACTGCTATAGGAGACATTATTCGTCTAGTTGAAGAGGCACAAAGCAGAGAGGCTCCAGTGCAACGGTTGGCCGACAAGGTTCTACCACTTGATCACATGATTTTATAGCGAGTATGTTTTGTTCCTAAGGTTATAAGTGGTCTGGCTGTTATGAAGATAAATAAGACCTTTAAAACCCTCCCCTCCAAAATCTTTCAATTCTTCCACTTCATCCTTCCTTTTTTTCAAAACTTTCCCCTCTCTTCTCCTCCAAGCTCCCTAGCAAAGCCTGAAGATCCGAATACAAATTACCACTAATAATAGTAAAACTAACTACAGTAAAAATGAACTATTTACAGCACCATATGATAGGACACTGAGCTCTCATATGTGCGATGACCCAATCATTTGGCTCAATCCACTTCAGCACAACTTGTAGAAGCTTGGAGAAGCTGTGAGGATAGAAGTCAGTTATAAGTCAGTTAGAATACTCTCTGATTTTAAGAGGGTTTTCTGTTATAAAAGGGACTGTAGGGGAGTGAGAAATGCATTCAGAATACTGTTAGAAAGTTGTTAGGAGAGTTACTCTCTGGTTTAGGAGCAATTCTGCTCTGGTTAGGAGTTCTGGAAACTCTGGTTTCTATTTTCTGTTTCTGTTTTTCACCATTGTAAGAGCTTCAAGCTCAACCATTTGGGTTAAATAATACAGTGTTCACTATACTTTTCTGGGCTCTATCACCATACATCTCTGAAACTCTTATTTAAATATAGATTTAGTGATGGCCATGTATTTGTTCCGGGAAGACTGGTGGAAGGATGATACCTCTTTTTAAAGTTGCTTTCTTTGGCTTTAATCTTGCACGATGTTTTCTTTTTCCTTTTTATGTTATACTGGATAGTCAAGCTTCTTGAGATTTATTTTTCTATTTGACTGATAATTGGCTGTTCATCTCAATCTTTACCGAAGAACCATTTGAACACCCTTTTCATTGTTAAAGGGGTTAGGGAATCAGGGGTGAGTTCTGTCAAAGAACACGGTTATGTATTTCATAGGGCTAACTTGCTGATGTACTTTTCAAAGGGCAAAGCAGTACACTGTTCTAGAATATTGCATTGAGGGGGAGTGTTAGAATGTTTATTTATTGCAGATACATTCTGTATTTATTATGTAACTGATATAGACATTACCCTTCATTTCGTTACAACACAGACTGTACTTTAGAACGAAATACACTGCATTCTTTAATCCAGTAGGAAATCCCAAAGATCGTGGGGATTTGGATCCTTTTCTGCTTTAAGCTCTCAATTCTCATTCATGTAGACCACCCTTGATGTGCTGTTTTGGACAAATAAATATTAGACCCAACTGAACCGATATAAAAACTACTGTAATAGCTGGGAACAATATGTGGAAACATTTTCAATTCTAATATCAACTTTCCTAAATTTTCAGTTTAGAACTTCATCAGTCTGTGTATATGGTCCTTCGGTGGTTTTATATGTATTCTCAATAAGAGGAATGTTAGCAACATGTTCTCCTTCTAGTATCTTCTTGCTTATATATATCTTCCTTCCACCAAATTGTGAAACAGCATTTTGTGTATCCAGGTAGCAGGATACTTCACGTATGGAGTAATGGGAATTTCTGTTACCACATTTACGTTTTGGAGTGTGTTTGGCCCGCAAATTATACCTTCTGCTCTATATCAAGGAAGTGCAGTTTCACTGGCTTTGCAGCTTGCATGTAGTGTTCTGGTATGTTTTTCAAATATTTTTATCAACATATATCCTGCCGCATTTTCCGTCATCTATATAATGTTAGTCAAATGTAAAGATCTGTTGGGCACTTGAGTTCTCACTCTTACTTTCCTTAATAATAAAGAGGAAATAGGCCTATTTTGAGCTTCCACTTTTCAGATATCGCTTAAATGAAAATTCTGATATCTGTTCTGATAGTAATGCTTATTTGTTAGTGCAGGTTATCGCTTGTCCATGTGCACTTGGGTTAGCCACACCTACTGCTGTGCTGGTAAAATCTTCATGGAGACCACATCTATCACCATCTTACTTATTGCCGTGTTTGATTTGAATGTGTGTTTAACAGGTTGGAACTTCTCTGGGAGCTAAAAGAGGATTACTGTTGCGTGGTGGAAATATTCTAGAGAAGTTTGCCATGGTAAACACTGTTGTGTTTGACAAAACAGGGACCCTCACGATTGGTAAACCCGTTGTGACAAAGATCGTCACTCCCACATGCATAGAAAATGCAAATTCAAGGTAGTGTATGGAAATAATTTTACCCATTTATCACAACCAATTCATTTGGAAAGACTTCTATCTATAAAATGTTGAATTTCTCTAATTATTTGTCTATACAAGATGATATATTTTCCTATCATGTTAGAATCAGGTTTAAGTATTTAGCAACGAATAATCGTGAGAGAAGCCATTTCCGTATTGTTAATGCATGATAGGAAATAGGGTCTGTAGTCTGAATATATATGATTTCTTTAGTTAAGTTATGCTACTATAAGGTGATATAACACTTACCTTTCAATGCAGCCAAACTAAAATAAATGCTTTGTCTGATATTGAAGTTCTGAGGTTAGCAGCTGCTGTAGAATCTAATTCAGTACATCCAGTTGGGAAAGCAATTGTGGATGCTGCTCAGGCAGTTAATTGTCATGACGCCAAGGTTCTCAATATCATTTCTAATGTTTCATTTTGTTCTCTGCTTTTGGGGTTATCTCATTAACTTTACATGATATGTTTTAAATTGAGATGCTATCTTTTTCTTCAAGCTATGTCAATGTGTTTTTAACTTTTTGTAACCTTTTTCAGTCATTATATGTTATTCTATCTATAGGAGACCAACCCATTTATAACACTGCGTATGGTTTTTTTTTGGTAGTCTGACAATGAGTTCATATAATAGAACTTACTAGTATGCATGCATTTCATATTTTAGGTGTGTTACCTTTTTTTCCCCCTAAAACTGATGACTACTGACTTATTCATTAAGGACAATTTGCAGGTAGTAGATGAAACATTCCTAGAAGAACCTGGATCCGGTGTTGTTGCAACTGTAAATAACAAAAAGGTTTCGGTTGGGACGTTGGAATGGATAACCAGGTACTTGAGTTTGATTCTTTTATCATGGTTCAAAGATACACAATATAAGATGTACTTCAGTTTGTTGGTTATAGTCATAATTAGGATTATTCTCTCTATTAGTTATGGTTTATGTACTTTCCTTATTTTGGGATATTATCTCTTGTATATATATATTTGGATAGCGGTATAGCCCCATTGTGAAATGCAAGTCAATTATTCTAAACCATTCAACTTGGTATCTAGAGCTTTGGTTCAGTATAGTGTGATCTCTTGTTTCACTCATCCTTGTTAGGGTTTGAGCAGCTGTGAAGCGCTTATCATCTGTCTAGTAGTCACGTGTCACAATGGCGCTGCACCTACAAAAAAAACTGCTGCCAGAGCCGCAGCAGGAGGGAGCCTCTTCCAGAAACACCCGCACGTCCATTGTCAGATAATGCTGATCTGTTGGTGACAAGAAGCACTTTTCGCCGCGTTTAACTCACGCCGCCTTCCCGATCACCATCTGCACTTTCGTTTCTTCTGCCGGCCTGTCTTCATGTATAGGCCCTGTTTGGTGTCAGGTCTTGAGTTTTAGATGCCCTATTTTTTGGTTTCTTGTGGCTTTCGTCTTGGTATTTGGTGTTTTTGGTTTGTTGCTGCATGTTACTGGTCCCTGACCACACATCTCCAACAATGTTTGTTGTGTCTCCGGTACATTAGGTTTTTATATTTTGCCTAACTCATCCTTACAAAACTGGTTTGTAAGGGGATGTGTGTCGCTCTTTATAAACTCTTTTCAGGCCGTATCTTTATTCTGTAGTCTCTAATGACTTGGGTTTTCCCAATAAAGAGTTTGAGTTAGACCATTTCCAACTTGTGGGTTTTGTTTTGAAGTTTTCTTTGTTGCTGTTTGAGTGATTTTCAAGGAGTTGAAACTCTATTTCTGTTCCATCCATGTTTGATGGCATTTCAACAAGCTTGCTCCTTGGCCACTATGGCTCATTTGTAGCTCTAGTGCTTGCTTATCTCATGCCATGGGATCTTGTTGCTTATTATAATGTATGTGGTAACCCTTCTCTTATATCTAACTTGTCAACTTCTAAAACACCTAACCATATTACTTGTGTTAATGGATCTAAGGCACAAGCATCTGGTGTTGCTAAATCTTCACCATTTCCAGCTGTCTCTAAATGTTGTGTTCTTCATACCTGGCTTCTCTTTTAATTTGATTTCATTCATTTGCTTACATGCTCAACTGCTCCATAACATTTGCTTTTGATTCTTTCATTTATCCTGTACCGGACAAACAATTAGAACATGATCTAAATCAGGGGTTTCAATTACCTTCATGTCTATATAAGATATCATTTATCGCCATTTGGATTATCCATGTCTGTATAACTTAAAGTTGTTGGTTCCTCGTGTTTCACATTTGAAAGCTCTAGATTGTGAGTCCTATTGAGAAACATGTTAAGGCGTCTTTTCCCAAGAGTGACAATAAAAGGTTCATGTTTCCTTTTGATATTGTGCATTATAATATTTGGGGTCCTAGCCACATGCTTTATATTTTAGGATACCACTTCTATGCCATTTTCATTGGTGATTTCTCAAAGTGCTCTTGGATAAGTTTGTTGAAGGATCGTTCATAATCATTTGGTACCTTTCAAACCTTTTGTTTAGAGATAAAGACTCAACTCGAGAATTTAATCGAAATTTTGAGGAGTTACGGTGTCAAAGAATGCTGCCATGTTTAACCTGTTCTTGGCATCTCATGGCATCATACACCAATCTAGTTATCCATGCACAACAATAGAATGGTGTTTAATGGAAACATCATCTTATTGATCCTACTCGAACCTTATTGGTTAATTTTTACGCACTTTTAAAATTTGGGGTGGTGATGTTCTTGTTTGCCGCCTTGCCGACAATGAAGCCAGTTATTTGATGAACCACATGTCATCCTCAGCATTGGGTAATGAATGAGCGGGGCCACATTCTATTGTTTTCTTAGGACTCTGTATGTTGTCCCTCCTCAACTCACTGGTCAGATGGTTATAATCAAGTGTTAAGTGGAAAAGACCATGTTTTTACTGTCATCTTAATTGGTTGATTGCCTCTACCAATTTTCTCTCATCCACTGATGAACCACATGTCATCCTTAGTATTGGGAAATGAGCCACATTCTAATAGTTTTCTTAGGTCACTCTGTATGTTGTCCCTCCTCAGGTCACTGGTCAGATTGTTATAATCAAGTGTTAAGTGGAAAAGACCATGTTATTACCATCATCTTAATTGGTTGATTGGCTCTACCAATTTTCTCTCATCCACGCTTCCTCACTTTTCGCTCACCCGAAAAAATATTTTACTTGTCCCATCTATCTCTAAGAATTTCGATAGTGCGTCAGTTTACATGAGATGATTCGTCTATTTTGAATTCCACCCCTTTAACTTACATGTTAAATCTCGGACAACCTTGAAGTGTTACTTGATGGAGCAATTGGGCATTAAGGGTGCTACAGCTTTCTGAATTTGATTGTACTAACTGTAGCTCAGTGAATTGTCATCTGGCTCAATCTGTTATTGTTTCATACTTCGTCTACTGTACTTCAGACATATTGTCCATTTATCTACTGTGCCTGGTGATATAAATCATATCGAAATGTATCTGGTCCGACTTCCAACACTTTCTGGCACTGCAGGATAAGACACCCAAGCTCTAGTTGTAATAGAGTGTGCAGTAGCTTGTACCCAAAGAATATGTTGCAATGAGATGCAACAGCTGCGACCAACTGTTGTAATGAATTCTAAATATTGTAATCTACTTGAAGATTAACACAACTAAAAATCGGTGTACCGACTTTACTCTGAAAGCTCTTGTAATAATTTTCTTCAACAATTTGTTTTTATAAATATCAAACCTTCAGCAGGTAATTTCTATGTGCAGACATGGAGTTAACAGCAGTATACATCAAGAAGTGGAGTATAAAAACCAATCATGTGTCTATGTTGGAGTTGATGATACTTTGGCTGGCCAGATTTATTTTGAAGATGAGATAAGGAAAGATGCAAGACATGTTATTGACACATTATCTAAGCAAGATATTGATGTCTACATGCTGTCTGGAGACAAGAGAAATGCAGCTGAATATGTTGCATCTCTTGTTGGGATTCCCAAAACGAAGGTAAAATGTTTTTAAGACTACATAATATTTCCATAAAGAAAGAGTACTTCTAAGGCTGAAATTTTGGTGCTGTGAGAAAACAACAGTCTATGTTTGGTTGTTGTCATGTTGAATATGTTGGTCAATTAAAAAAGCTGATAACTGAGGTTACTTGATCTCATAGCTATAAATGGTCATCTTCTTCCACATTGAGGCACTTGATCAGTAAAATAAAAATTTGAGTTTTCACTTTTTATTATAGATACCAAGGTGGAGCTACAAGCTTTGTTCATATCCATGACACTCTCATGCCTAAACACGGGAAAATCTATTTTGTTCATTATAAGCGTGTCAACATTTGCAGTACTAGCTGTTTAATTTATCATACAAAAGTTTGTGCGCATGTGAGAGTGATGTTATGGTAATTTGTTTCACCTTTTGGCATATTAGCCCTCTTCTGGTTATTTGGAATTTAGCTTACATGTTTGGATAGGTGTCTTGGGTTTTTATTTATTTACCAATTTATTTTAATGTTGTTGATGATTTTTCTGTGCATGGAAAATGTTTTTGATAATTCAATGTCTTGCTTGTTTTAAATTGTAGGTGCTCTCTGAAGTGAAACCAGAGGAGAAAAACAACTTCATAAAGGAACTTCAAAAAGATAGGAATGTTGTAGCTATGGTTGGTGATGGAATTAACGATGCAGCTGCCCTAGCTTCTTCACATATAGGTATTGCATTGGGTGGAGGTGTTGGAGCTGCCAGTGAAGTGTCTTCTATTGTATTGATGCACAACCATCTCTCACAAGTAATTGTTTTCCCTTTTGGTCTTTTTTTTTTTTTTGCAAAGGTAAAATCTTGTGGTTTTGTTAGAATTAGAGTTTGGCCTGACTCATTCCTACAAAACTGGCTGTAAGGTGAGGGGTGATACTTTATATAAATTCTCTTTAGGCTTTATCTTTAACCAATGCGGAACTTGGATTTTTCTCAATACACCCCACTCCCTCACGCCCAACACTATTGGGCTCGATTCATGGATATAAACGGTGGATGGTCCGAATTATCAATATGTGGGACTTGATTTTTTCCAATACACCCACTTGCACTCAACACTATTGGACTTGGTTAAATTGTGGGTGGCCTGAATCGATAAGCTCTTGATACCATGTTAGAATTAAAGTTTGACTTAACTTATCCCAGCAAAACCGGTTTGTAAGATGAGGGTGTCACTCTATAAATCCTCTTTAGGATCTATCTTTTAACCAATATAAAACTTGGGTTTTTCTCAGTAGGTCTCCTTTCAGACTACTATAACTGTTCTCTTCCCTTCTATGGTAACAATTATGATAATCGAATGCATGTTGCACAGCTAATCTTTTTATTTCTATGCAGCTGCTTGATGCTTTGGAGCTTAGCAGGCTAACCATGAATACTGTAAAGCAAAATCTTTGGTGGGCTTTTGTATACAATATTGTAAGTTCTTCTGTTGTCCAGATATAAAAATTTGATCGGCATGATTTCGTAGTCATGTGCTTATTTTTTTGACATTCTTTCTTTAACATTTTCCCCGTTAAAATTTTGATAGACTTTTCCCCCTAAAAATTACCTGATGCATGAAAAATATTTTCAGCATTTTAAGTATATGTTCGTCACAATTTTGAAATTGAACTTGTGTTATTACTTATCAAATCTTTCATAAATTTTTTTCTTTTACTTTATTAATCTTGAACTTTCTTTTAATCTGGCAAGTAAAAACTATTAAAATGTATTGGTATGATTAGGCACAACAGAGCAACCAAACCACACATATGATTTCCGTGTTTACTTCTGACGGTATTCGCGGTTCTGTTTGGATCAGTTTTAAGAGAAAAACTCATTTGATCCAAAGATAAATTTACTCGCGGTTTGATTCGGTTTTAGATGCTATGTTAAAAAATCAAATCCGATCCGATCCAATTTAATTCGGTTTAATGTGGATCGATTTTTGAATATCCAAATTATAAATTATATTTTTATTAATATTATAAAAATACTAATAAATCATAAATTTGATATAATATATAACATATAATATATTAAAAGTTAATATTATAAAATGAGAATGGTCGGTTATGGATGAAATAAACGAAATAATAAAAATATATAGATTAAACCAAGCTAATAAATAGTATTAAAAAAATAATTATCATCTAATAATAAATTCATGTAACATATCATACTAATAAAAAATAAGTAAGTACAAAAATATGTACATGCGGTTCGGTGTTTGGATCGATTTTGAAAAATCAATTTGAAATCCGATTCGAACTGTGCGTTTCACAAAATGACATCCAAACACATCAAAAAAACTTTGGTTTTTTACAGTTTTCGGTTTTTTTGGATCGGTTTTTTGTGGTTTTTATTTAGATTGGTTTCGATTTGAACACCCCTACTTCTAACAGCATTCCCCTCCCAATTTGGTTCTGATTTTGTATCAAATTCAGACTCAGGTCATGTTGGATAGTACATTTATTTGATACCAGATTCAGGTGTATTTAGAACTAATTAGTTCTTTCTGTGTTCAGAAGTCTGTATTCTTAGGTCTGTTTTTAAATCATCTGAAAGAATGCTATTTGATTTTTTGTTATTCAACTCTCACGGTGTAGTTATACTTCTACCTTCGTACAGGTAGGGATTCCAATTGCAGCTGGAGTGCTATTTCCTGTAAATGGTACCATGCTGACTCCATCAATTGCAGGGGCTCTCATGGGGTTGAGTTCCATCGGCGTAATGACTAACTCATTACTTTTGAGATTCAAGTTTTCCTTAAAGCAAAAACATATACATCGCCCACTGGCAAAGACCGATACCTATGTTGAATCTGATCTGGCTCGCCGAAACAAGAAAATAAAGTATCCAAATTAGCTATTAGGTGTTGAGTGGAGGCACAACATAAAGGAGGTTCCTCATTTTTGGGTTCTGCTCAGGTTTATGATGAGAGTATACATATTTTTTCTTGCGGTAATCATCTGAAGGATGACAAGAAATTGGTAAAATGAGATGTCGGAGGAATATAAATAAAAATATGACATTATCAATCAATTAGATGGGGGACATTAGTTGAGAAATTTGAGTGAAAGAAAAAAAATAGATTAATTATGTTGTTATCCAAGATACCTTTAATTCATAGATTTCTCTGTAGCTAGCTGGTAATCTAAAGTTTTCCTCCATAGTAGCTTTCCACTGATTACAGGTTAATGCTTTGTCTCTGATTTGAAGTATTGTGCAATGTAAATTTCTTTATTTTCTAGTAAACTTAATAATGATTTGATCATGTTGATTTTTAGAATTTGACTAAATTTAAGATGCCTATGTTAGCTTAGCCTATTCTAAATTTCAATGTATGCAATTGGAATACATTTCAAGATGTGTTTGAGTAAACTTTTAATTGAGAGTTTATAGTTTGTGTTTTTAAATAGGAATTTATGTATACATAATTTCTATAATAAAAGAAATACTTAATTGTAATTTTGGTTCTTCTATTTAATTCTTTTCTTGATTTTGATCTCTCATTTTGAAAATTATTATTTTAGTCTTTTTTTTAAATTTTCTTATGAATTTCCGTCTCATTTTAAAAATCATGATTTTGGTCTCCTTTTTTAAATTTTAAATTGTAATTTTAGTCTTTTTTTTTTAATTTTATTTTAAATTTTGGTCGCTCTTTCATCATCGCCAAAATTAGAGAGGGGATTAAAATTGTAACTTAAAAAAAAAAGTAAAAATCATGATTTTTAAAATGAGGGGATAAAAATTCAAAAGAAAATTTAAAAAAAACTAAAATAGTGGTTTTTAAAATAGGAGGATCAAAATCAAAAAAAAAATTAAATAGGAAAACCAAAATTGCAATTAAGTTTAAAAAAAAATATTAAACTTGTTTATGGAAATAAATTTAACTAGTAAAATACTAGCGTTCACATAGTAAATTTATTTAATATAATATAAATTTTATTTAAATATACATGTAAATTTAAAATAAATTATTTAATTGTAAAATAAATAATAATATAAACTCAAAAATAATAAATAATCATCTAAAAAAGAAGAAAAAATAGTTTGTGAAAAGGAGGAAGAAAAAAAATAAAAAATTTGACATTTTTGGACCAAAAGATGAAAAATTTATATCCAAAAGACCATGAGAATACAAAGCCGATCAAACTGATCCAGGTGCCTAAGTGATTAAAATCAAACAAAGAGACCAAAAAGATCAGCTTGTTATTCTATTACAAATTCTATCCGACTTCCTATTATTTTTTTGCTTTTATGAGAATAATATCTATCACTACTTTGTTGTGGAGGGTATCACAAGTCTTGTTTTGAAAAATAGTCTTATTTCTAGTTGTCCAACTAGCATAAATAATTTCTGCTATAGCAATTTTGATGAGTCTACCTTTAACACATTTTCCACGGGTTACCTGACAAATCCAATCAAAATCAGACTTTCAATCACCCAGAGTATGTATGACGTCAATCCATTTGAGAGTATCCATTCAGACTTTCTTAGTAAAATTACATTCGAAGAATAAGTGATTACCACTTTTTTGAAGTCCACAGAAAACACACTTACCATCAGTAGCGACACCAAAACGAAGAAGCTGATCTTTGGTGGACAATTTGTCTTGACAAGCTAACCACAAGATGAATTTAGCTCTAAGTCTAGAAAGACTACCATGGAAGAGCTTTCTCCACGACACATTGTGTTTGGAACCTCTCATCATTCAATAAATTTTCCTCGTAACATATTTACTTGTATGATAACGAGAAATCGTATCATATAATTATTACGCTTTTTACCGATTTTATAATACATTAAGTCGTCTAACTCTCGATTATTCCAAGTTTTTATGTCTTTTCACAGGTACAACATTTGTCAACTCAAACCAATGAAAAAGGACTACATAAAGGATGCTAGACAATAAACAAAGAGAAAAGAACCAAATCTGCAAAGTTTGGAGATTTTGGAGCAGTGACGACCGTCACACCCTGTGACGACCGTAACGACCCCCAACTTGAAACAACGCTCGTCACACATCTTTGACGAGCGTAATGCGCTATTTAAGCGCATTACGATCGTCACGCGTGTAAAGATGAACGTTGTGAATTGGTGGAGACGTGGGCAACGTGAGGGCAGAAGTGTTCTCCTATTTTCCCTCCACTCAGTAACCATGCACCCTATATTTCCTCCACTCAAGCCTTTTCTCAAGATGGTTTCAAACTGCTATATTTTCTCCTATATATATGTGTGGTAGTGCAAAGGGAAAAAGGTCGAAGGAATTCTCCCAGAACAAAATTACTACTTTTGCAATTATTTTTATTTCTTTGTTTTGAGCATTTTCTACGTACTGTAATTTCTACTTCCAGCACTATTTTCCAGCATTAGTTTTAGAGTGTTAATTCTTCATTCAAGAATTAACACAATTTATTTACTTCAATCAAGCTGCAAGGAATATTGTAACATTTCAAGATTACCATAGCAACGTTATTTCCAGGTTTTTATTGCAATTAATATTTATTCATTCTTGTATTATGCCAATTATTTTTATGGATTATATTTTGAATTGCATTGTTATTAAATATATTATGTCCGGCTAAATTATTCGTACCGGTATGTGACTCTTAAGAACCGAAAGAATTCAGTGATACCTTGGCCAAAAATATTTATAAAACAATTTCTGGTTTCCAATTTCCATATTTAATTTAACTACCCTTGTCACGAGAGTGAGAGAATAATTAACACGATTTTGCCACGAGAGTGGGAAATTAATTAAGGCAAGAACCTGCATGCGAGAGCTGGGGTTCAACCCATATAGTGGTAACGAAACATTAATTTTTAAATACACGAGAGTGTTTTAATAAATTAATTAAACTCAAATTGTTTCCAAAAAGTGTTATTAAATTTAAAATGCATCCACTAGGTTTAGTAGCATGACTTATTTCATGAACACGAGAGTGTATGTCTCAGGTTTTTAAGCAATTAGTTTTTACCGAAATACTTTATAGGCCAAGCGATTCACCGAATTCCCGAAGTCCGACTATCACATACCGGTATAACTATTACTATTATTTTTAATTAAACTATTTCCCCCCTAAAATCAAATATTCATCGCTTAGTTAAACAAATTGTAACATTAGATCGTATGTGATTGATCCTCAGTCTCTGTGGGTTCGATAATCATTTAAAACTAGAACGACTAAACTGTATACTTGCAGTTAGTATCCCGATAGACTCATAAAGTCCCGATCAAGTTTTTGACGCCGTTGTCGGGGACTGATTAGTCAATTAATTACGATTCTTCTGTTGCGTGTTTAGACTAGGCAACATAAAACCCTTTTTCGATTTGTATGCCAAGGACTCGCTCACAAGGCGAACCACTTGACAAATCGACGGACGAACCTGAATGCATCATTTCCGTAAGACGTGCAGTCAGGGATTACTGTCTAAATCACGCTATTCCTTTACCCAAACCCGAAATCAAGATTGATTCTGAAACAGATTCTAATTCTTCCTCTGAGACTGAAACTAATCCAGAATTAGACATGGCCGAAGAATAAAGGACCCGTCCACTGAAGGAGTACGCAGCTCCATCACAACAAGAACCCCACAACATCATTGCTGCTCCAGCAATAAATCGAAACGATTTTGAGTTGAAACCGTCATTGATATCAGCTATCCAATAACGCCAATTCTCTAGAGATCCTTCCGAGGATCCAAATGAACATCTTACAAAATTCGTTCAATTTGCCGACACAGTTATAGCAAATGCTGTTAGTAAAGATGCAATAAGATTACGTCTTTTCCCTTTCTCGCTAAGCGATAGAGCTTGGGCTTGGTTGCAATCCTTGCCATCAAATTTCGTCACTAAGTGGGAAGGACTTAAGATTGTATTTTTAGCACGATACTTTCCCCCAAGCAAGACTGCTGCACTAAGAGCCCAAATCAACGGATTTAGGCAGAAGGATACTGAATCGCTATTCGATGCATGGGAATGCTACAAAGATATGATGCGAATGTGCCCACATCATAGACTAGAAAAATGGCTGATCATCCACACGTTTTATAATGGACTCTTGTACAACACAAGACTCTCTATAGATGCCGCCGCAGGTGGTACACTGATGGACAAGCCTTATGACGAAGCTAACCAACTCATTGAAAATATGGCTCAAAACCACTATCAGTGGGGAGGAGAAAGAACATCTGTGGAGAAAACTCAAACCAAAGGTGGGATGTACGAGATTAGTAGCCTAGATAAAGTTAATGCTAAGGTAGATGCTCTTACCCAAAAGATAAAAAGCTTGACCTTACCTCCTGCAGCCACCGTGGCTGCACTTACCCCAAACTGCGAAGTTTGTGGAGTCCCTGGTCATGTTGGAATCGAATGGCAAATCTTAGCAGGAATATTAGTTGATCGGGTAAATTACGCTCAAGGTAATCCTTATGCTAATACCTATAATCCTGGTTGGAAGAACCATCCTAACTTCTTGTACAAGAGCAATAACGCTTTATATGCACCTGGCCAAGCACCTGCTGTACCTCCAGGTTATCAAAAACCCGCTGTTAATGTTCCTAACATTCCTAAGAAATCTAACCTTGAAATCCTAATGGAAAATTTTATCGCTAATCAAGCTCAACAAAACAAAGAATTCCTCAATCAAAACGTTCACACCGGTGAACAATTAAAGCTATTAGCAAATAAGGTAGATGCCCTAGCAACTCACAATAAAATGTTAGAAACCCAAATCTCCCAAGTAGCACAACACCAAGCTAGTTCTGCCGCACCCGCTGATACATTTCCGGGACAGCCACAACCCAATCCTAAGGGACATGCAAATGCTATCACATTACAAAGTGGGACAGCCCTTGATGG